TTTACTAACTAAACTTCTCTAACTTCCGATCCCCCAGAAAAAAAAAACAAAAAACTGAGTAGCACTCTGGACTTTGAGATTGTAAAATTTCAAAATTCACTCTTTAAAAACCAAAGTTAAAAGAAAATTAAACAAATAATTGACTTCACATGTGGGCCATAAAAACACGTTTTTTTTTTAAATATTCTAAAAAAAAAATAATTTAGAGAATCGACCAACTTTTCAAACTATTTAAGAAACTAACCTGTTTTTTAACATCGCATTTTGAAAATGTAATTTTAAATTGAAATTGTATTTTCAACATGCAATTTCAGATGAAATCGTATGTTGAAAATGCAATTTCTGATGATATGGACTTTATTTTTTGAAATTACGTTTTCAACATGCGATTTCAATGTGAAATTACATGTTGAAAATACAATTTCAATTTTAAAATCACATTTTCAAAAAAGCAAATTAATTTTTTAAATAATTTAAAAAGCGAGTCAATTGTCTAAATTACCTTTATTATTATTATTTTTTAGAATATTAAAAAACAAAACTCATGAAAACGCAGTAATAAATGAGAGATAATTGATGCATGCATGAGTTAGCCAGTTTTAATCCATTAGACGGCGTACGATCTTCATTCTTACTAATTACTAATAATTACATTCACATTATAACCCCATTACCACTAATTCTCTCTCTCTCTCTCTCACATATAAATTGCCTGGTCATCTTCTCTTCTCTCCCATGGCCTAGTATATCTCTCTCTCTCTATATATATATATGTTTGTTTGTTCCATTTCATTCTCATGCAAATTGGATTGGCTACAAAGCCATTACTAAACTCTTTCTCTCTCTCTGTCTCTCTCTCTCTGAAATATGGCTAGTCAGTGGATGGAGGAATGGTCAAGATATGAAGTTATGGCTAAACATGAAGACCAACAAGCTTTCATCTTTCCAATCCAACAACTGCCTCCACTTGATTTTTGGTAATATACTGGGTTTTGTAATTTCTCTTACAAATTGTGAGCACACAATAGAGTTTGTTTTATATAGATAAATTTTTTTATTTATAATATATATATTTTTTGTATGTGATGATATGTTATCTTGTTCTTATATTTTAAATTAAATTATTCACTATTTTAATTTATAAATTAAAAAATTAAACTGTTACATCATTTCAGATGAGATTTTTGTATGAAATTATATTTATAAATTATTTTTCTATATATATATATTGACACAATAGATTTATCAACAATATTAAGCACTGTAAAATGAAAATGGAAAAGCATTCAAAACAGTAAAAAAATGTATAAATTAAATTTATTCTAAATGTAACACTCACCACGCTAAGTTTGAATTTACGTAACATACTTTATTTTTACATATTTTCGATGTTTTTTTTATTGGATGTATAGGTTTTTAGACCCTTTTTAATTCTCTTTCTTGTTGTACTCTTGAAGTGGGTATTCTGCTGCATTGGATTGTCACTATGATCTCTCAACACAAGAGAGTGTTTTCGATGCTTTGCCATTGATGGGGACCTTCCCAACTGACCCTCTTTCACCATTAGATATTCTTGTACCCAGCCCAAGTCCAATCCAACCTCAAGGTTAGTCAATATATACTACTTCCTCTTTTCTCGTTGTACTAGCTTTTCTTGATTGTGATAGCTTTTGGGTAACTATTGTTTCAGAAGATTTCTTGTTTGGTTATGAAAATTATGGGATTGAAATTTGGAATCAAGAAATAATGAGTAGTGCTACTACTATTACTGTTGGATTTGGGGAGCCACAGAATCAGCAGCCATTGCTTTTGAGTGAGAATGGTGTGGAAACTACTGTTGAAGAGACGGCCAAGAAGGTTAAAAGGTGCAGCAGAGAAGAGAAGATTAACAACAACAACAACAACAACAATAACAATAGTTCATCAAAGATGTTGTCAAGAAAGACAATCTCAAAGTACTTCTACCTGCCCATAACACAAGCAGCAAAGGAACTCAATGTTGGAGGTGCAGCAGAGAAGAGAAGAGTAACAACAACAACAACAACAACAACAGTTCATCAAAGATGTTGTCAAGAAAGACAATCTGAAAGTACTTCTACCTGCCCATAACACAAGCAGCAAAGGAACTCAATGTTGGGTTGACACTGTTGAAGAAAAGGTGTAGGGGATTGGGTATTCGTCGCTGGCCTCATAGGAAGTTGATAAGCCTCCAAACCCTAATCAAGAATGTTCAGGTATATTACTCTTCTTTGGTGTTTGCTTTCTATTTACTCGATGGGTTCGCACATTTCGTGTGTAATTGAAAAGATCAGGTGTGTGTCAATCTTTCTAAGTGTTTGTGAATCACTCTTTATATCTATTCATAATTGCTCTTGTGGGTATATGAAGGGAGTTATACAAAAGAATTTATAACAATTTGAGAATAGGAAAAAATTGTGACAAACACCAAGTGTCACAAAAGGGTATATATATACTAAACTAATTTTAAAATATGTATCATTTATTTCAATTTTGGTTTCACCATTTTAAAACATTTTTATCTAAAAAATATTAAACAATTTGAAATCCTAATTATTTTAAGTAACTTGTGTATCTTTTGTAATTAATAAATCTTTATTTAAAAATAACCTGAAATCATCTCTTTTTCTTTTTTTGTTTTTTCTTTGCATGCTCAAGATTTTTCACAGTTGTATTTCACTATTAGTATGAATTGAAAATTTACATCCATCGTGTGTGTTGTAGATTTTCGTTAACAAATTTATTTGATTATGCAGGAGCAATATTAAGTTACTGTGGTACTGTAAAATTTGTTTTAGTGACCCGGAATATAGGTCTTTTGACAAGTTAAACTCGTCTTTATCATTCATCAATCGTTCAAAAATTTAGTTGTAATGTTGCAAAAGTATCGCGTTTGCAGTCAACACTAGTATATATATTGACTTATATAGAGTCGCGAATATATAGATACAAATGATGATGTTGTGCAGGAACTGGATAAAGGAGAGGGAGCAGAGGGAAATTTGAGGGAAGCCATAGAGATATTGGAACAAGAGATGAAGATGATGGAGGAGGATCCAGATATGCAACTTGAGGATGGAACAAAGAGGCTCAGGCAAGCTTGTTTCAAGGCTAACTACAAGAAGAGGAAGCTCATGGGGACGATGAATTTGATCGAGATGGGCTCTCCTTCTTTTTCTTCTTCTTCCAGCACCAACCATCCAAGTACAGAAGTCACCACCACTGATTATGGGACTAGGGATAATGAGGAACAAGAAGTGATGAAGTCGCTTTGGTCTGACTGTTTTTCTTCTAATGTAATGTTCTAAATTTGAACCTTTTTTTTTTTTTTTTTTTTAATGGAAGAAAAATCTAGAGATAAGGAAAAATTGTCTCGGAACTTGTCATCAATTTACATTGTCATTGCTTTTTTTTAAAGTGAATTGGGCCTCACTGAACCTGTTTGCTTTGATGACAAATTTTGCTGTCAATCTTTCGTGACTTTCGTTTTTTATGAGATGTTTGCTATTTCTTTTTTTTTTCCCTATGCCCTATGGTCTGTTTAATATGCCAAGTTCAAGACTAGTGAAATATAGTGGTTGCTTCAATATTTGTTTTTGGTGACATCTATGATTAGTTTGCAAGAAGAAATCTTTCTTATCAATATCTATCACTTAGTTTTATAATATTTTGAAAAAGATAATTTAAATTTCTCACCCCACCATTCATCCACACCACCAGCGAAAGCCAAACCAAAACATCTATCTCCTGACCAATGTAAAAATCAAACACAAATGCTATTGTACGTCTTAAGAAAAGTGACCAGTGTATCAACCCTACGTGGTTTGCACTTTGCACTAAATCCAATTAACAGATGCATCCATATACTTGTGTATGTTTTCACTCACACCAGGCCACAAAGAGATCAAACATGCAAGGAGTACACAAGGGGACCGATTGGGGTGATTGTGATCATTAGGATTTCGAGAGAGGGGGTAGCAAGGTAAGGAGAGAAGGGAAGGGAAGGGACTGGCAGGGATGGGTGGTGGTGGCGGCAACAAAGTAGGGTTGGGAAGGGGGTTGGGGGTTATGGTGGGAAGAAGGGTGGTGATGAGTGGCGGTAAGGAATTTGTTGGAGGAAATCTTATTAGGGTTTTGACAAAGAGAAGGAAGAGAGAGGGGACAAAATGGTCTTGAAAAACTCTAATTTCATGAATTTTAAATATCAGGTCTTGCAATTTGAAAAAAAAAAAAAAAATGTCAAACGATTTTATTTATTTTTGAGTAAATTATATGAACCTTTCTTAAGATCTAGAAAAAAAAAATAATAATTTTACAAATTTAACATAATTACATTTCTTTAAAGTTACAATTCATATCCATAATTCACTAGTCAAATTGATGAAAAAAATAACATTCTCTCTTTTACACTAAAATGTATTACTTTGTTTATCATTATGTCTTTATACTATTTGTATTAGTTTTCATTTCTTTAGTCACTAAAATTATGGTTAGTATAATTATGTCAAATTATTATACTACTTATATTTTCTCTAAATATTAATGAGAACAGTCTAATTTATCTTTAAAAAAATTCCCAAAACTTATTTGTAATGGGTTGGACTTCTCTTACATTCATATCTCAGCTTGATAGTACTTGAGGAGCTGGTGGAGTCCATCATAGGTTCTGTTTTACTAATCCAAATTATTCATTTTGTAAAACCATCAATCTATATAATTCATAAAAAAAATTAATTTGATCCAATATCATATATTTTTGAAATAAAGCAATCATTTTTTTTTTCAATTTATTTTTTAGAAAAGAAATATAATAAAATAAAAATATTACAATTGTGAAATCGAGTTAATTTTTTTTATGGCAAAGATTGAAGGCTCATAAAGATTGAAGGCTCTCCCAAATAAATAAAAACCATTTGTAATTTCGCTTGAGAAAAAGAAGTGCAAGTATGTCAAGTGTTGTTTGTTCCAAATTTGAACGTTGGAATTGGAAGCAAAAGTTTTAGGAAAATGTTTGGACACAAAGGTGATGTGTTTGAATTTTTTTTTACATATGGTTTAAATTATTTTGAAGTTGTGAATGGTTTAAAATTATTTTAAAGTTGTGAATGGTTTAAATTATTTTGAAGGTGTGAGGTGTTTTGTGGTCTCCGTTTGCTGAACGTTATATGGATTCGAGGCTCAACTGAGATGCAAAAACAGAGTGTCAGTCAATGAGAGCAATTTTACATCTCCTTCGCTCACACTCTTCTCCTCTCTCCCACTTCAATTTTCATATCCATCTCTGTCCTCGTTTCTTCTCATCATCATCTTCTCGCTTTCACCTTCACCAACCCACCTCCGAAGAAGCACTGCAACAACACTCTCACCATACCCAACACCTCTCCACAACTTCCCACAGAGAAAAACCATTGATTTCTCTCATAAAATCATGTTCAAGAAACACCCATTTGGTTCAAATCCATGCACATCTCCTCCGAACATCTTTCCTCCAAACCCCCACCATTTCTCTCGCCTTCTTGACCCACATCGCTCTCCCTCCGTCTCCCAATCTGAGCTATTCCCTTCTATTTTTCTCTCAAATTTCGAAACCCAATATCTCTCATTACAACACAATGATCAGAGCTTACTCATTGAGTAATTCTCTTGAGAAAAACTTCAAATTTTACCGAGAAATGCGACGATATGGTATAAGCCCTAACCCATTATCTTCTTCTTTCGTAACCAAGTCTTGTATTAGAATGAATTCGTTATTGGGTGGTTTGCAAGTTCATGCTAAGATTTTGAGTGATGGGCACCAATCTGATAGTCTTTTGATGACTACTCTGATGGATTTGTATTCAATTTGTCAGAAGTGTGATGATGCTTGTAAGGTGTTTGATGAAATGTCTCACAGAGATACTGTTGCTTGGAATGTCTTGATTTCTTGCTACACTCATAATGGTCGAACCCGGGATGCTTTGGGTGTGTTTGATACGATGCAGAGCTCGCGGTGTGGTTCTCAACCTGATGATGTTACTTGTCTGCTTGTACTTCAGGCTTGTGCCAATTTAGGTGCGTTGGAATTTGGCGAGCGGGTTCATAGTTTTATTCGAGAACATGGATATGGAAATGCTCTCAATCTATGCAATTCTCTTTTAGCAATGTATTCGCGATGTGGATGTGTTGATAAGGCTTACGAGGTGTTTAAGGGCATGCCTAATAAAGATGTGGTTTCTTGGAGTGCAATGATTTCGGGTTTAGCAAGTAATGGACATGGAAGAGAAGCTATTGAAGCATTTAGGGAGATGCAGAGAATGGGTATTGTGCCTGATGATCAAACGTTTACAGGGGTTCTTTCTGCTTGTAGTCACTCTGGGCTTGTTGATGAAGGTTGGATGTTTTTCAATTCTATGAGTAAAGAATTTAGGATAATGCCCAATGTCCATCATTATGGTTGCATGGTTGACCTCTTGGGTCGTGCTGGTTTGCTTAACCAGGCCTATGATCTTATTCTTTCAATGGCTGTTAAGCCAGATGCTACAATGTGGAGGACTTTGCTTGGAGCTTGTAGGATTCACTGTCACGTTACCCTCGGAGAACGCATTATCGAACATTTGATTGAACTCAAAGCACAAGAAGCAGGGGATTATATTCTGTTGTTGAATATTTATTCTTCTGTTGACGATTGGGAGAAAGTGATAGAAGTGAGAAAATTGATGAAAGAGAAAGGAATCCAAACCACACCGGGATGTAGTACAGTTGAATTGAAAGGAGTAGTACATGAGTTTGTCTTGGGCCCATTTTCTGGAAAACATTTATAAACACATAGTATAACATGGTTCAAAGCTCAATTTGAGAAATCAAAGCCCAAGGGTGTTTAATTCAAACCCAATTTAAACC